AGGAGACCCCCATGTGTGAGGAGCCCCCTGAGTGTAAGGAGCCCCCTGAGTGTGAGGAGACCCCCGTGTGTGAGGAGTCCCCCGAGTGTGAGGAGTCCCCCGAGTGTGAGGAGTCCCCCGTGTGTGAGGAGCCCCCTGAGTGTGAGGAGACGCCCGTGTGTGAGGAGCTGACTACCTGCGCCCAGGAGCCCATGCCACAGGGCCTTGGTGTCTCCCATGAGCAGAGCAAGGACATACAGGCTGACTGGGATGAGCCCGACGGGACGGCCACCCAGGACGGAAGAGGCCCTGGAGCTCATGAAGACCCCATGCCAGCCGAGCCCTCTGAGGACAGCTGCCAGATCATCCCTTTCGAGAGCAGCAGTATGGAGGACCTGGTGGTGGCCGTCGAGGGGAGCCCCTATGAGCTCTTCCCCAGCGAGAGCACCTCCTTCTGCCGCCATAGCTGTGCCCCTGTCCTGCCCGCAGGTGGCTTGGAATCAGCACCACACCCGATGTGGGGCGTCCCCAGCGTGGGGAGTGCAAGTGGGAAGAGAGCTGGAGCTGGGGAGGCACCCTCTGTCCCCGACGTGGTTGTCCTGCCAGGGGATGAGGGTGCCACACACATGGCACGCAGTGATCCCTGCGTGACAGGGTTCAAGGAAGACGCAGCGTCTGACACTGAGGGTGGCCCGGTGCCTGGGGACAAGAGGAATGTCGTCCCATGGGCCTGGCCCCACTCTGGGAAGGTGGCTGGCTGTGTCCCAGAGACGGTGCCTGAAGAGTCGGGCCTGGAAGCTGGGTCCTCAGCTGTGGGCATCGCCAAGGAGGCAGGGAGGCCAGCGATGCCCCTCGAGGCCGGCTGGGCCCTGCACCCGCGCTCCTTCTCTGTGGAGGGCCGCGAGCCACCAGGGGCTGTGAACCGGGAGCCCCAGGCCGCTGGGTTGGACCTGCACCGCATGAAGAGGAAAGAGGACAACCTGTCGCTGCCCTGCGTGATCGGCTCCTCCGGCAGCTTCTCCCAGGGCAAGCGCCTGCCGTCCAGCGGCACCTCGACGCCCTGCTCGCTGGTGGACATCCCGCCGCCATTCGACCTGGCCTGCGTCACCAAAAGGCCAGTCACCAAGAGCTTCCCATCGCTGCTGCTAGACAGTGAGGCCCCTGACAAGGCCACCAAGAAGAAAAAGTCGTCCTTCAAGCGCTTCCTGGCACTGACCTTCCGGAGAAAGGCAGACAGCAAGGCACACGCGGACGCTGGCCTGGCCTCCTCCCGCTCCTCGTCTGAGTCCAGCTACCATGGGCCCTGCCGCCTCCTGGACGGGGACCGGCGGAGCCTGGGCAGCTCCCCGCAGCTCCGGGCCCAGGTCGGGAAGCCGCGGGCTCCTGAGTCTCCTGCATCGCTGCTGTTCTCCAGGGATGGCAGGAGGAGGGGCATCCCCTTCAGCAGGACAGTGTCCAGAGTGGAGTCCTTTGAGGACCGCTCACGGCCGCCTTTCCTACCACTGCCGCTGACCAAGCCGCGCTCCATCTCCTTCCCCAATGCGGACACATCCGACTATGAGAACATCCCCGCCCTGAGCTCTGACTACGAGAACATCCAGCTCCCGCCTCGGAGGCCGGCGAGGCCCGGCACGTTCACCAAGCTCTTTGAGGAGCAGAGCCGGGCCCTGTCGGCCGCCAACGAGAATGACGGCTACGTGGACATGAGCAGCTTCAGCGCCTTTGACAGCAGGTCGCAGGGCCCGGAGCCCGAGGCCGAGAGGTACGTCCACCTGCTGCGCATGGCTCAGGGGCACTGGGGTGAGGGCGCAGATGGCATGGTGCAGGGGGCTTTCCCTGCTGAGCCTTACTTGTGCCACACGTTGACGTGTCTGAGGCCAGACCTGGGGCAGATTTTCTATGTGAAAGTGGTATGTACAAATGCTGTACCTGGTGCAAGTGTGTTTTTTTGTTGTTTATTGAGTCAAGGTCTCGCTATATAGCCCACATGCTATATAGCCCAGGCTGGCCTTGCAGTCATGATGTGGCCCCAGTGACCTCAAACTTATAGTGATCCTCCTGCCTCAGCCTTCTGAGTGCTGGGATGGCAGGCATATGGCACCTCACCTGGCTGCAGATGTGATTTTCAGGGCTATACCTCATGTGCTAGGTGGATGCTTGACTCTTTATCTTTGGGAAAATGCCTGAGAGAAGGTTCTAGAATCCTGCCAAAGTAGATACCTTTTCCCTGAGGAACTGCCCCAGGTCGAGCGCGACACCTTCTGTTGTGTCACATACACTGGGTGCTGCAGGGAGACACAGGGCCTCAGAGACAGGCCCTGTGGGCTTTGAGAGCTGACCCACCTGCTGGTCATAGACAGGGTTGCTGCGGGAGCACAGGACACCTGGACGCTGACAGGGTGGGTGCAGTGCCCATCCCAGGCTCAGGGCCAGAGCTCAAGGCTCACCCTGGACTTTCATGCTCTCTGGGGCACCTGCCCTGGGTGGGGCCAACAAGAGCCACAGAGTGATGAGGGGCTCAGCCTGGCGCCCGTGGACTCCCCAAGTCTCTGCACATACACTGCTGTAGCTGCAGTGTAGATACAGGTGGGGTTGACCTGGCTCTGTCTCCCTGCCCGGGTCCAGACAAGGACACTAGCTCTCTGCCCGGGTCGAGAGGCAGAGCAAAGGAGATGTCAGGCCTGCTGAGGGCCTGGGCAACCAGGAGCTGTGGACCTGGGCAAGCTGGGGGGCAGGAGCCACTGCACCAGGGTTGTCAGCGGCATCTGAAGAGACCTGCAGTGGTGGCCTCCGGGTCCATGCTTGGCATCCCCAAGCCAGGGGGACTCAGTGTGAGGCCCACACTGTCCCCTGTGATGCCACTTCCCCCGTGCCCGCTCTTCCCCCTCATCTCATCCTCTGGATAATGAACAACCTTGGAAAAGGAATAGGTACTGGAGAGTCACAGGACTTCACAGCTCACGGGCGTGTCTGACATCATTTAATCTTCCTGCGGTGGAGGAAACCGAGGCATGAAGGGAGTTAGGACTCAGACTTCTTGGCTTTTCATTCATGAACTTGCAGGGAGTTACGCTCAAAGATGCCAGATCTGGTGGTTCAGGCTGTGCACTATACAACCCACAGGCAACTCCTTCCACCCGTATCTTTGTCACTTTCCCATTACTGGGACGAAACACCCAACACCCGTGGCCTGAAGTTATTTGGGCTCATGAATTCAGTGGGTTCTGTCCATGGTCAGCCAGCTCCAAGGCAAGAACAGCATGGGGGGGGAAGCTGCTCACGTCCCAGCAGCCAGGAAGCAGTGAGCAGGGAGGCACCCGGGAGGAGCGGGCCATGCCCCTGGGACCACCTTTAAACCGGCCCCACCTGGGAACAGCACAGTCAGCTGCAGCTGCAGACTCCACTGCGGGTCTTGCATGCCCTCAGTCATGCGCTGTCTTGCATTTCCTCACAGCTGAGGGCTCAGCGCCAGGCTGCAGCCGGGTATGGTGGTGCACACCTGTATCCCAGCACTCTGGGAGGCTGAGGCAGGAGGCTGTCCAGTTCCAGCCCAACCTGGGAAACTTAGTGAGTTAGTGAGATGCTGTCAAAGTAAAAAGTGCAGAGGCCCTGGGCTCAGTCAAGGTGCTGAAAGAAAGAAAATTAAGCCGGCACCCCTGCTGCATCCCAGACTGTCTTCCTGAGGGCCAGCTGACTGGGAGAGACCTGTGGGAGCCGCATCCTGGCACAGAAGGAGGGGCAAAACATCCTTCCATTCACAGGCAGGGCGAAGGAAGTCCCTGCCTCATTGGTGGGAGCAGGTCTGGGCAGGGAGGTGTGGCTGGGGTCCCCATGCCCACTCACACGGGATGGTACCTTGAGGCTGGGGCTGCGCCCATGGGTGCCCAGGCGGGCAGGCAGTGTTCTTTCCTCTTTCCTGACTCTGGAGAGTTGGGCAGATGAGTCAACCTCAGCAGCCCTGGAGCCAGAGCCCGGGTCCCATGTGTGCTGGGAACCTTGGGCAGAGCTGGCAGCATCTGTTCCTCTGGAGATGTGGGGTGGCCTGTGATGCTCCACACTGGCCTGCCCCTGTCTCATCCTGCAGGGCCTGTGGGTCTTTCTTTAGGCCAGTTGGTCTCTTTTCTTAAAAGCATGTGAAGGAAATGTGGGTTCGTATGGGAAAGTGGAATAGCAGTGTCAGTCGCTATTGGGCTGCTGGTCATAGACAGCAGCTATGGCCCGCTCCTCCCGGGTGCCTCCCTGCTCACTGCTTCCTGGCTGCTGGGACGTGAGCAGCTTCCCCCCCCCCATGCTGTTCTTGCCTTGGAGCTGGCTGACCATGGACAGAACCCACTGAATTCACAAGCCCAAAGTGACAAAGATACTAAGTGGAAGGCACTTGGGAAAATAAGACACAGAGAAAAATGGAACAGCAGGCACAGCAGGCTTGAGGTGAGTACGTGCCAGCTCGTGTTTCGTGATCAGAGGCCTCAAAGATGCCCAGCTCCACTGGACTTTCTGCTTGACCCCATCAGAGGACTCCTGGAGGAATAGCTAGGGATGTTTAAACCCAAGTCTCTTCTCACAGAAGGGTCATCCTTCAGGAAATAGAGCCTGAGAGCCCTCAGCGACCCCTACACAGGGAGCTCAGGGCCTAATACACCCAGTTTCTTCTCTGTGGTCACTTCCTCCAAGATGTGTATACACAGACAGGAGCACTTTAGTAGCTACAATAATATTAACAATCTTTTATTTTAAAAATTAAAAGATGATGCACATCTGTCATCTCAGCACTCAGGAGGCTGAGGCAGGAGGATCTCCATGAGTTCAAGGCCAGCTTGGGCTCCATAGTGAGTTTAAGACCAAGCTGGATTACAGAGCAAGACTTTATCTTAGAAAAAAAAAAGAAAGTATCAATTATTACCTGTGTGCATTTTATGTGGTACACAAAAATGAAAAAAAGATTATGTCATTTTTTTAGTTTAAAATGCAGCCTCAAGTACGCTTGCTTTCCCTAAGTTGACATTTATGCCACACAAAAAAAAAAGTTTTTGGTGGAGATCTATCTCAGCACCTCACTTTGCACAGAGGAGCTATGTGTCCACCTTGGGGGAGGGGTTGATCTTCGCTCCGAGTGTCCTGGGACGAGGCAGTTTGGCCACCAGCTAGAAGCCAGATGTCTTGGTTACTTTTCTCTCATTGCTGAGACAAAATACCTGACACCTACAATTGAGGAAGGAAAGGTTATTTAGTTCACAGTTTATGGAGGTTTCAGTCCATACTCGGCTGGCTCCAAGGCAGAGTGGCACATGGCAGAGGACAACACTCCAGAGCTGCAGAAAACAGCAAAAACAGCAAGAGCAAAAAGGAGCAACAGAGAGCAAGCCTCTTTCCCTCCCTTGTACTGTATGCAGGCTCCCCGCACCAGGGCGGGTGTAGCACTCACACCCATAATCCCAGCACTGGGCCATGAATCAATCACAAACTCTAGAAGCCCACCCCATGACTACATGAGGCTTTGAGGGGACATCCAGACACAAACCATAACACCAGAGAAGAGCCAGGCTTGGTCAGTGTCCATGGGCAGGAACACCACCAACGTAGTGAATACCTAGGTCTTCCAGGTGCTGCTTGAACCTCCCCAACCTTCCCATCCTGTAGTCAGCCAGCCGGGTGACCAACAGGGGTCCCTGCTGCCTAGTTCAGAACCCTCAGACACCCTGGGACACACAGAGCCCCGGGTGAGGGAGGCCGGGCCATGTGCATTGACCTAACATGTGCACGGGGTGACCGGATGCTTGGGGCCAGGTGCAGAGGCCTGGGACAGTGACTGCCTCTGCATGTCCCTGCACGTCGCCACAGGTACGCGCTGGTGACGGTCATCCTGCCCCGTGTTGTTGAGACGTGTGTGAGGGGTGACCGTGAGCCCCAGCCAGCATCAGGGTGTGATCGAGGTCGCCGGGCAGGGTTTGATTCCGGGGATGAAGTCTGGGAGGGAGAATGTGGCCCCTTGCACTGTGGAGACATCCATCCGTCTCTATCTCTGCCTGCGTCTCTATCTCTCTCTCTCTATTTCTGTCTCTCTGTGTCTGTGTCTCCGTCTGTCTTTGTCTCTCTCGGCCTCTGTCTGTGTATCTGTGTCTCTTGGTCTCTTTTTCTGTCTCTCTATCTCTGCCTGTGTCTCTCTCTCTCTATCTATTTCTGTCTGTCTCTGTCTGTGTGTCTGTCTCTCTGTGTGTCTGTGTCTCAGTCCGTCTTTGTCTCTCTCGGCCTCTCTCTCTGTGTCTGTGTCTCTTGGTCTCTTTGTCTCTCTATCTGTGTCTCTATCTGTCTATCTCTGTTTCTGTCTGTCTCTTTGTGTGCGTCTGTGTCTCAGTCTCTTTTCGTCTCTCTCTGCCTCTGTGTCTGTGTCTCTCAGTCTCTATTTCTGTGTCTGTATCTCTCTGTCTCTGTGTCTCTGTCTCTGGCAGTCTCTCAGTTTCTGCCTGCGTCTCCCTATTTCTTTGTCTGTCTCTGTCTGTCTTTCTCTCCATTTCTGACTCCGTCTCTACCTCTGTCTGTGTGTCTCTGTGTCTCTGTCTGTGTCTGCGTCCAGACTAGAACCCAAGCCCAGCTGCGGTCTCCCTGACACTGTGTCCCATGGCTGAGGGCATCCCGTTATGTGGGTGCCTCCCTGGCGAGGGGCACAGTGCCTCGATGTGCTGGCGTGGCCTTTGGTCTGAGGGCTCGAGGGGACCCAGGAGGGTGTTTTCTGAAGCCGTGCCTATACAGACAGTGAGAGCC